AATTTTTTGTACAAAATGCACACTTTACTACCACGCTATAGCTAAATGATGGCTATAAACATGGTCATCCAGTTCTGGGAGGATGTCATATGACGTCCTCACAGAACATGCCGCCTGCACGCCCCCAGGGGCACTGTCTGTGATTGCTGTGTCTTTTGGACACAGCGTATCACAAGACATGGTAAAAGGCCAATCACAGCGGTCTTTTACCACATAATCAGTTGTGTCCAATCACAGCTGACCACTATGTAAATACACTTGCCGGTTATTGGCAGTACTTTCCTCACGCTGTCAAATCATGAGGAAAGTACTGCCGGCAACTGGCAACTGTCAAAGCAGACATCTGCACTGATAATCAGGACAATGATTATCAGTGTCCTGATTATCAGTGCAGCCCAAAATATGCCCATCAGTGCCCAACAGTGCTGCCCCTCAGTTTCCAGCAGTGCTGCCAGTCATTGCCCTTAAGTGCTACCTATTAGTGCTCATCAGTGCCACCTATCACTGCCCATTATTTCTGCCTATCAGTGCAGCATCATCAGTCATCATGCTGCCTATCAATGCCCATCACTGCTGTCTATCAGTGCAGCCTCATCAACACACATCAGTGAAGGAGAAAAATTACCTGTTCACAAAATGTTATAATATAAACAAAGAAAACCTTTTTTTTTTTGCTCTTTTTTTCATTTTTGTAAAAAAATTAAAACCCAGTGGTGATTAAATATCACCAAAAGAAAGCTCTGTTTGTGTGAAAAAAAATGAATATGGGTACAGTGTTGCAGGACTGCGCAATTGTCATTCAAAGTGCAACAGCGCTGAAAATTGGCCTGGGCAGGAAGGGGGTAAGTGCCCAGTAGGCAAGTGGTTAAAGGAGATGTTTGGCCTGAAAAGCTGGATGTAGTATGTCATATTGGAAATGTGGCCAGCAGAACATGCACCAGTGGTCTGTTTGCTGCACACATGTACTAGTGTCTTGATCACCAGCAGCACATATACCAGTGCTCTAATTACCAGCAGTTAATATTCCAGAGATTCAGATTCCTATAAGCACCTATGCGAGTGGCTTGATCACCAGCAGCACATGTACCAATGTTCTGAGCAGTATCAAAAATTCACCAGTGTCCCCAGGTACCGGTGTAATCCAGCACTAGCTGGTCCTGATCATCAGCCACACCATGACAATGTCATCTAGTACCAGTGTTAGCCAGCATCAGTGACCTTATTGCCATCCACACCAGTACCAGTGAAATCTTCCACCAGTGCTAGCCAGAACCAGTGTCCTTATCAATACCAACCAGAACCAGCCCCACTGAAATCCAGTACCAATGTCAACTGTAGGCAGTATCCTGATCACCAAAAATCATCAGTGGGCTAAAAAACTGCACACTGTGTGTTAATTTTTAAATGTGGCCCGCCCCATTTGCTGCAATGCTGTCTGTGAAGTCCTTTCAATATTCCTTACTTTTCCCTGTTAAATATACAGTATGTACTCAAATGTTAATTTTGGGGATGAAAAGCTGCATACTGTGTGTCCTTTTCAAAATGCAGCCTACTCTAGCTACTTGTATACTGTCTATGGAGTCTGTACAATATTTCCAGCTGTTGTCTCTGAAATAATGCACACCTACTCTGCCTGTGAAAAAGATATCATAGTCTGTACAATATTCCTGGCTTTCATCTCAGAAATAATCTTTCATTTTTATTTCAAAAAAAAAACTCTTCAACTGTGGCCTGGTGAGGTATTTCATGTGTAGTGAGTCTGTACAGTTTTTCTGGCTGTAGTTTGAAATTTATTTCATGATAAAATTGATTTGCATCACCTTCTTACATCCCAATCAAGCAGCTTACATATTATGTTTTTGTGGAGTTATTACAGCATTTCATTTTGACTTTGACTTTACTTGGATGATAAATTTGGACTTTTTTATATAAATAGGAATTATTTATATTTATGAATTTTTGTACTGAATTTTGTAATAATTATTTTTGATTATATTTATTGTTCATGAAAATTATATATGAGACATACACTATATTGTCAAAAGTACTGGGACTCCTGCCTTTACACGCACATGAACTTTAATGGCATCTCAGTCTTAGTCCATAGGGCTCAATATTGAGTTGGCCCACCCTTTGCAGCTATAACAACTTCAACTCTTCTGGGAAGACAGTCCATAAGGTTTAGGAGTGTGTCTATGGGAATGTTTGACCATTCTTCCAGAAGTGCATTTATGAGGTCAGACACTGATGTTGGATGAGGCCTAACTCCTAGTCTCTGCTCTAATTCATCCCAAAGGTGTTCTATCAGGTTGAGGTCAGGATTCTGTGCAAGCCAGTCAAGTTTCTCCACCCCAAATTTGCTCATCTGCATCTTTATGGACCTTGCTTTGTGCACTGGTGTGCAGTCATGTTGGAACAGGGAGGGTTCATCCCCAAACTTTTCCCAAAAAGCTGGGAGCATGAAATTGTCCAAAATGTCTTGGTATGTGATGCCTTAAGAGTTCCCTTCACTGGAACTAACAGGTCAAGCCCAGCCACTGGAAAACAACCCCACACCATAATCCCCCCTACACCAAAGTTTACACTTGCATAATGCAGTCAGGCAAGTACCGTTCTCCTGGCAACTGTCAAACCCAAACACGTTCATCAGATTGCCAGACAAAGAAGCGTGATTCATCACCCCAGAGAACACATCTCCACTGCTCTAGAGTCCAGTGCTTTACACCACTGCATCCGATGCTTTGCATTGCACTTGTTGATGTAAGCTTGGATGCAGATGCTCGACCATGAAAATCCATTCCATGAAGCTTTCTATGCACTCTTGTTGTGCTAATCTGAAGGCCACACAAAGTTTGGAGGTCTTTAGCTATTGACTCTGCAGACAGTTGGTGACTTCTGCGCACTGTGCGCTTCAGCATGCGCTGACCCCACTCTGTCATTTTACATGGCCTACCACTTCGCTGACTCAGTTCTGTCATTTTACGTGGAAACTGTCATGTTCCATCACCACCTACAATGTACAGCTCCCAGACATGTTTTAAAAAGAAATGGTGTTTTTTTTTCCATGTTGCTCTCCAAGTCAAATATAGAGAAGGACCCTTTCCCAGCTGAACTGCATGTTTATTATTTTTTTAATTGGTACATTTCCCTTATGGCAGTGCTCAGCTCTCAGTGCCATTTGTTTGACTATTTATTCCCTATTGGACCTTGAAATGGCCAGAATTGATTTTCGGGATTCACCCCTCCTCACTGACTTCAAAGAGGTTCAGATTAAAGTTCTCAATTTCCACTATTGACAATGAGTTTGAAGAACAGCCTGCAAATTGAACCAATTTATTCATCTATAATTTTAGTGTTAGATACAATGTATGTATTTTTTATTTTGATACTTTAATCATTATGTGATCCAGCAGCTTTGTGACCACTCATGCCAAGCTGGCCATAGATGAACATGTCCATATATATAGTTTACCACATATAGCCATTATTCTCCATGGTTAAGATTGATATGACTTTGATTGACTTGTCACAGACGTGCCAGATCTATACTATTTAAACACTACCTGGTTCTGGACAGGCCATGATAATAAAGCTAATTTGTGTGACTGTATTTTTGTTTTACAATTTGACCAGGAGTTTATGTACAGAATGTAGAGCTGGTGGAGTTACACACAGGGTGCAGAGTTTAGAGGTGCACTGCATACAGAGTGTTCAGAGAATTCAGGGAAATCATCCAATGAGGGTGTCGGCATCTGTACTGCATCCCGTGCACCATCATCTCCCTTGTCCCCATCCTGCACTCAGTGGAAGCTGCTTAGGAGATCTAAATTGTGAAAGCCAATGAGAGACCAGCTGTCTATTTTAAAGACAGAAGCTGGACTTCTGTGTTTACAAGTAATAGTGGTGAGCAGTGAGCAGAAGGCTTGAGCCCTTGTGATATCATCGACCGGGGCGTGCTGGATCTACTTCATGGTGCATTCTTTTATTTTCTTCTTTTAATAAAGGACTTGTCAAAGGCTGTCTCCTGTCTTTTTTCACACTACACATTTTTTTTGTGAATGGGTAGCCCCCCTGCCCAAAAGCCCCCCATGGTGAGGGCATATGGCCTGGTACGGTTCAGGAGGGGGGGGGGATCGCTCATCCCCCCCTTTCCTGACCTGCTGGGCTGCATTCTTGGATAAGGGTCTGGTATGGATTTTATTTTTATTTTGGCGTGGGGGTTCCCCTCGAAGTCCATACCAGACCTGAAGGGCTTGGTATGGGTGGAGGGGGAGACCCCCATGCCGTTTTTTATTTTTTTATTTTAATTGCCAGCAATTCATTTCTTTACATTCCACTGATGACTCAAATACCAGTACATACCGCATGCCTGGACCATTACTTAATTACCGCATGCAATTAAATTATTTATTTCCTTTTGTGAATTGACTTAAGGTCTTTTTATGCGGTATTTACAGTATCAAGTGTTTTTGCTATTTTTGGTAAATAATGCATACTAGCAACAATGAATTGACATTTTCAGTATTGCATGCGGTATGTGGTTATGTGACTGACTTAAGTCATGCGATAAGCTTTAGTGAATTGCACCCAATGTTTGATAAAACAGTCAATGAAAAAAGCCAGCTGTAGCCCATGTATTTATATCTCAGTTTTACATAGACCAGAATAAATCCCTATCCTATATTGCATGGAAAATGTAGCAATGATATTTTGTAGCAGTAGTGTATATACTCATAGGAAAGTGTGATACCATGGATTGGTTTTATAGCAGCTGGTTGGGTGAAATAGTATACCACTTTGCCCTTAAAAGCTATAAGAATCTGGAGTGTGACTCAATATAAATTTCAGGTTTGTGTGGAGTTTACATTTATTGGGCCTTTTGATAACTGGCACCAAATAAGATTTATAAGACAATAAAATTGTTAACATGAAATGTAAACAATAGATATGCTTCCCTTGCTAATAAAATGAAATTTAAACAATAAATATGCTTCACTTACCATATTGATAGCATTCACTGGTCCAATGCTATTAACATACATGTCTGTATGAATTACTGTTGGTTTTACTGTTAAGTAATGAAAAAAAAATGTGAAGATTAGCAGTCACATTTAGATTCACATGACGACAAATCTGTTAATACATTAATATAATTTAAAAGTACCACAGACATGATATACTGTGCTAAATATTAATGTTGTCACTTGGTCCTACAATTAGTAAAACTTCAAAGAAATACTTATTTTACAATTAGGAATAAGTGAACTAGAATAGACACACAGAGTGTTGTAATGTATACCAACTGATTATATTCAGATACTATAGTACACATGGGGTTTTCATAGTTTCTTATGATTACAGTAGGCACGCTCAGTTATCTCCCCACATCCTTCGATAATCTTCACTTTACCCTAGGTTCTCCAAGATTGAGCTGAAAATAGCATTCAGATTCCTGGCTTCGCTACTTCCTATTGGACCCTAAAGGCCAGTGAGGCCACCATTTACATTTGGTAGCTAATTGTAACTTGGCATTCTGGTGAGCAGTGACCATCATCTAAAGAAGTGAGAATACACCTGAAATGCCTGTTCTAAAGTGTCTCTGTTGTCACAACAAAAAAAGTGTCCAAAAAGTACCCTTTAAAAGAATACTGTTCATACTTCTCTATTCTACCACTCATTCATCTGATCTTGACTTGATCCATTGTATGCTGTGGTGCCATCCATCAGCCCTACATCACTACAAGTCATGGAAACACTATGCTCAGTTGGAGATGTAGGACTCTAACACTCTCAAAAGAGTCAGTTGTAGAAATTCTGTAGCAGAATATGTGTGTAATAATAGTTCTCCTTTGCACTTACTTACTTTAGGGATTAAGAGTTGTTTTTTGAGAGGGAAGAATCCCCACAGGTTCCTTCTAAAAGGTAGACAAGTGATTCTGAATTGACTGACCTTCACTCAAGACCTCTCAGATATGAGCATTATATAAGAATGATCCTTGCCTGGCCCAGAAAAGCAGGGATTCATATGTAGCTTCCCCACCTGAAACATATCAGGCCACATGCCCTCAACATAGAGGGTTACCTTGCTCGGTGGACCCCCTTAGGAAAGCACTTTGTCTCTATGTTGATGAAGACAAGGGCCTCTTCCCCACAACCCTGGTCAGTCGTTGTGGGAGCCTGAGGGTGTGGAATCTGAAAGCCCCCTTTAATAAGGGCACCCCCCAGATACTGCTCCCCTTACATGAGAAATTGGTTCTAGAAAAGAGCCCAACCATTCTGCTAAAGGATGGTGCCCAGCAACACAGGAAAGACTGCCCTGTGGCTTAGTTGTAAAACTTAGATATCAAAAATTATTAATGATATGGATATCTTCAGATGTGTCTAGATTCAAAATAATCCTCACATACATATTAGTGTAGTCACATTTCAAGGTTGTGAATTAAATCAGACCATTTATTTATGTTTAAAATTCTACCTCTTGGAACTCACAAAGTCCTGATATACTGTGAGGGACCGCCTAGCGGCACCACTAGCACTCCACCGGTCAGGCGTGCCCAGAGCGCGGAGTCTAAGCCCCAGGGTACTTGTTCACCAGAGCCCCTGATGGTGGGGATGGACTTGGAGTACCCCGGGACCAGGTCGCCACTACTGAGCACACCTGTCAGTGGTAGGGGTGTTCTCCAGGGGCTCCAACCAGGGAGAGCCAGATGTGAGGAGGTTGGGTGACCCCAATGGGATGGATGGATGGCTGAGCAAGTGCGAAGTCAGACAGCCCGAGTTGGTAACGTAGAGGACGGTACGGTACAAGGGAGCGGACAGAGAATCGTCGGGTCACACGCCAGGTCAGCAACAGCAGGTCAGATCTAATGAGGGGCATTCAGAAGAGAGGTCAGGCAAAGCAAGGGTCTGGGCAGGAGAAATCAGCAGGTCAAGAGCAATCCGGGTCAAATAACTTACAAGGTACAGGTTCAGATTCGCAGGATACAGGTAGGACCAGAAGGCACTGAAATGACAGCTCAGGGACATTTAAATATCCTGCCCTGCGCTGCCATTGGTGCCCAGCGGGCGGCCGCGGCTTCTACTGCACATATGCGAACTCGAACGCCGCGGCCGGCCCGGACCTAGTGCCCGTGTCCCTGCACAGGGCGGTGCACTGCTCCTGCGCCGGGACCATCGCGGCGGGGATCGAGGAGATCCCTGACATATACTGTATGTCCCTACATGGTATTTCTTTGGTCAAAAGCAATTTACCGAAAACCATATATTTATATTTAAAACTCCACCACCCCTAACTCCCAGAATTTTCACTGATTACCTTGTTCATTTAAAAATCACTTTGGGCTGAAGTTACAGTGTATAATGGTTAATGCTGCCTAAAGTTGTCATCAACACACACATAAAACTCAGTATGGAATGTTGTGACCTTTAGGTGTTTTTAGGCCAAAATCCAATGTGGATCATTAGCTTTCATACACACACAAAGAAGCTAAGTAAACCCCAAGTATACAGTAGACAATGATGACATATCTTACCTAATGTATCAATACAGTATGTGTTATGCCTGTAGTATCAGGACATCATTCTATATTCTTGCTCGGTATAAAATGTCCCCACCGTTCTCATCTAAGCACACAGTAATTATTGGTCCAGCTTACACAGAAAGTAATTAAACAGCAAGTGTTTATGATCTGTGAGAGAAACCCAATCACCCAGAGAAAATCCACACAGACATTACAGATTTGCAAAGAGAGCCTTGCTTGTGTTAAAAATAGCCACAGAGAGGCAACACTACTGCTGCATCTCTATGCTGTATTACACAAGATTAAAAGAACATTTCAGGTGATTTACAAATCAAAACACGTGTTTGAAGACCTAGTACATTTTTTTTGACACAATGAAACTGATTTTATTGCACAGTATATGGTGTGTTACCGTGTTATACTATTAGCATGAGCCACTGTTTCCCTAGCTTGAGTTTAGATTAAAATAACTGTTGCTGCTGCAACCCTAAATTGATGCTGTCAGTCTGAACTGTTATTAGAAAGTCTGTACTCCTAAGCATTGAAGATGTGTAAGATGCTTTTAAGCACAGCAATCAGATTTGAGTTCACTGTAGTGTAATTAAAGAAAGATTAATTCTGATTAGATTACTGCATTTTACTTGATGCCATTTGTCTAACTGGGTAAGCCCACAACATATTACAAGTGGCCTAGCATCGGAGGGCTGCATTATGTAATATCTATCATTTTAATTTATTTATGAAAAGATGCATGTTTGTGTTTTTGCAGTTCAACATTGTGGTATGTGCTTTATTTTCTTGCTCAACTAAAGAAGGATGCTTACTATATAGTTTTTACCCATGCTTTTTATGATCTGTGGTGTAGTAAATATTCAGTTAAATCAGGATTTATTTATGTTTTATTTTGTTTAACCCTTTTGTCAATATAATTATTTCAATGACATGTAATCAATCTTCTAGCCACCGCAGGAGCCAAGATCTGTTTACATTCTCATTCCTGGTTGCTGCTATGTAGTAGAAGTGATCAATTCTGCATGTGAATGAAAGTGCAACCCCCTGCCTGTGTCCCAGGCTTACTTCTTCCTTCTGGGTGCTCAGTATCTCCATGGCAGGTTTTACAATTGAGAGTGTTTGGAGATCAGCAAAGATCCAATCACTGATCTTCCTGGTGCGGTATGAAACTGGAAACGCTAAGATCTGAGCACTCCCATGTTTAGAGCTGTCAATCTCTGGCCTCCCTAGCATCGGTAGAAGTTGATCAAGCACAGTCTTTGCTTGATAAGCTTCAACAAAAAGCGGAAGTGAGCCCTAATGTCTCCTCAAAGACAACCAGCCCCATAAAACTTTTAATAAATTAACATTATTAAAAATAACCAAAAAACAATACAAATGCATTTTAAAAGCTCCCCACACCTGCACTCTCATACTCCCATACATCGAGTAAACACTTGTACAAAAACTCAGATTTTACTATGCATATTAAGAATAACCATGCACTCCAAAGTGAGATCAATAATTATAGAGCCATCATTTTCTGTTAATGCTAAATGGATGAGCTGTGAAGCTTTGCCTATGGACAATTGAGGGTACCATGATTGGGTATTATATAGTGCTGGTGTGCATTAAAATTTTGTCACAATTATCGTGTGACAAAAAAAGCAACTGTAACCATTTATTTTACAAAATATTCAACTAGTTTGTGCAACGCTCAGAGACCCTAAGTGAAATTTATATAAAACACAAATATGAATAGCACAAGCCCCAAATCATATATCAAAATATGATGGAAGTAGAAATAGATATGTACTGTAAGTGATGTTATACCTGTATTATGTGATAATTATGTTTTACATTGTATTTACATGTCTTAGTTATGGGTATTTCACCTGTAGGAATATAAAAGTATAAGGGAAGGGGAGTGATATTAGATTATTTTAGGTTTATAAGTCCATTAGATCTGAGGCCCCAGGGCAATATCATAAAGTTTTGGTATAGAACCACTTGGGCAACATACAGCAGTGTCTTGTTGGGGCTGGTTCCTATGACAGCAGAGGGTAGGATGATTGCATGGATAATTTACGGGTCCTAAAAAGTAATGGACATAAAGGTTACCTTGATGATACTAGCACACTCTTAGCCTTTGACAAAGTTCATAGGAGATGAGGCATAAGGCAAGGCTGTGACATCATCACGTTGAAGAGATATGTCTCGTTGTGTTAAGAAGTGATATCAGTCTATACCTACTGTTTAACAGCAAAGTGGTTTCATATATATGATGTACCTGAAGTGACATCATTTATATACCAGTAGTTTTCTACACCTGAATATGTGAATGTGTTTTTATCCCTTGCTTTAATAAATTATTTTTTTAATGGAAAGAACTATGAATTGTTTGCAATTGCTTGAGGTTTACCTGGGGCATTCATACTGAATGTCTAAAGAAGATTTACCCCTGAAGGGAGCTTTATCTGGAACATTTATACTGGGGGGGGGGGGGGGCAAATGAATTAACCCCTGAGGGAAATAAAGCTGGTTTGACCTCTTGTAACTTCGTGGAACTTTACCTATAACAACTTGCTAAAACGTTGGTAACTTACATACATTTCACATTAATAATTATGCTATCAAAATTAGTGTATGTTGTACATTGCCTCTGGAATAGTTTCTTCTTGGTGTAGGCTGCCATTTTGCTGAATCCAAGAGTCCTGAGCAGCATTAGCTTTGAAGGTCACTGCTTGTGTCCAGGCACCACATAGATCTACAGGTATATATATATATATCCTCTGCACCCCTGACCTTGGTCTGATTTTGAAATATGAGAGATTTATAAAAGTAAATAACCAGAGCCACAGAAAGTGCATAATGTTTGCCTGGATTAGCCTTGCATATATGTCTCTGTAATCTGCCATAATAAGAAAAAGAAATACATATTTCATCAGGAAAGTTGGAAGAACCCATCAAATTTTGTTGTTATAGTTTTTTTCTTTGCTTTACTGCCACAGCCACTTAACTATTAACTATTCACACCAACCATACAGTATGCATATATGTGGCCTTTTGGCAGGTGGGCTTTAAAGATGAGCAGCAACATATATGTGGCCCTATGTAAACACTTTACTGTGCAGAGAGCATGCTCCCTTCATGCTCCCAGTATATTAATGAACATATACTGGAAAGCTCCTTATGCATACTTGCGATTGGGAGCTTTGCAATCATGTTACCGCAGTGACAGCCAAGTCACAGCAGTCACGTGATCGGAATGCCCACCTCTACCTCCCGATATTTAGATCCTCCTAAAGGGTAAGCAGGGATTAAATAAAGGGATCATATTTTTCCTAAAGGAAATTATATAACTGCATTTTTTATTCTTTTAAACAGTAACTTATTGTGGATAAGCACATACCTCCAATATCAGGTCTGAGCTTGTTGTCATAACCTTTGAGAAGTCCATTTAAAATAGATGTCACATCATTATCATGGAATTTGCGTGTGAGTAACCATGTTTTATTGGATGGTGCATCCTCGTAGTCCTCATCTTCTTTTTGTAAAGAACTGTAACAAAAATGGAGAAAATATAAAAAATAGATATTGATGTGATTGGATTAGAAAAACAAATATTTTTTTTATATTAGTTGTAATAATAAATAAATAAATAAGCATGTGTTTCTCTGTTGCTATTTTCTGTAAGTGAAATATCTTCTCTACTAACAGAAAATGGTCTATTTTTATACAAAAACGTGGTTTGCAAATATTTCATGCAAGTTTAAAGAATAAAACCCATAATGTTTGTAATATGTGTGTAATAGTTAATTTGTTGCATTTCGCTAGGAGAAAGTAACATTCAGTAACATTGAAACCTAAGAGAAAAATAACAATAAGAACATTTGACCATGAGAGTTAACATTCATCAATAGAGAAAACAGCTAAACACTACAGACTAAGAACTCTTGACCAGCAGAGGAAATAATATGAAAGAGTACTGTGTACAGTTTATGAAGAATTCTGTGCAGTCAATGAGTGTTCGGCCTAATGACCCTACAGCTGTAGCATGAGGTGAAACATTTAGAAATTGTATTATTACCACTGCTAAATGTGACAGCTTTCTTCTGGTTTTTAGGGAGCTGTCAGCCACCTACGTCCTAACAACTAGTCACTTATCCCAACCTGGCACATTCAGCAGTCAGCCAGGGATTTCCAACTGACTGAATGTAAACAAACAATGGTGATAGTAAGCCCCCAAATTTCATAGAAGACTCTTATCATAGTATGGGTAGTGGGTGGCCAGGGATGAGGAGAACAAGTATGTGCCCCCCCCCCCAAACCATACCAGGTCACATGGGGGGGTGCCTTGCTAGGCAGCTGTTGTAATAAAAGCAAAAGGGTGGGGTCTCTCAGGTGACATCATTGACCATATACAGTATAAACATGACTGGGAATGCAGTGACATAATTGACCAAATATGGTTTTGTCTCTAAATAGTCAGTGGTGTCACTGAGATCCTGCCCCTGTTGTCTGAATATTCCAGAAGTTTATCATATAACGTATGTGAGAAACTTGACAGGATAAAAAAATTCAACAGATGGAATTAAACCTTCTTGAAATTGTAAATAGGAGGTATCAATCCTTTTTTAGGCTCTCCAAAACATAAATAAACTAAAAAAAGATTCAGCCTTTAGGTTTTTTACAGGGCATTATATTTTATCAACATTTTTATTTGTTATATGTTAACTTTATTTTTTTATTTTTTGGGTAGGTGGTTATGATTGTTAACAACAAAGAGAGATGACCATCAAACACTATTTTAAAGAGTAGTATGGTTCCTGAAAAATATTGTGTTAGACAGAAAATAGGAATGTAGCCAAATTAACTTCACTTAAAAAACTTTGACCTTTTAATTGTCTAGGTATGGTAGCTGCATTCAAAAGGAAGCATTCACTAAACTGATTTTAACAACCTCAGGATAATCTTATATATGAATGCAATAAATATGCTTTTTACCATAATTTCCAATGTATTGATTTTAAACAACAAATGGCTAGATATTACAAATATCAACCAAAAGTAAAACATGTTGCTATCATTGCTGACCTGGGTGGCAACTTATTTATATTACAACCTGTTTTTTCGGGTTTTTCATAGAAACAGAGTACAAAACAACTCCTTTCACAAAGAGCACAATAGTAGTTTGGGACAGACAAGGATTGGCAACACATTTAATATCAAGGATTGTCCAGTTAGTGCCACAGAGAACACCCAAGAACGCCTCAATAGCTTTTGGGCCGTGAAATGTCCAATGCTTTTGTCAACCAAGAACTTATGGACAACATGATTGTCATAAGCTTTGAGGAGACTTGCCATTTCAACAGACTGAGTACACCCAAACTGTAAAATGTACAAATCTTCTAGGAAGGATTGAAATCTCACGTATATAGTCATGTTGTATTATGTTGTACCAGGTATGGTGAAATTTCTAGCTCTTCAGAATTTTCTTCACTAATAGAAAATGACAGCCTAACTACTTGGCACTATTTAACCCATATATTGCAGTAAGTCATCATGTCCTTCTGTACCACTCCTTGTAGCAAATATGTTTCCTCACTCCAAAGCAGAGTGGCAAGAGTTGCTTAGGAGTTATTGACTGCACCCATGTATATTTTTTCTATGTTCTTTTTTTCAAATAACCTTTGTTTTTCTTTTATTTATTTTAGCTTCACAACCTTTGATCTAGAAACAAATATTGAAATTTATTGAAAGTGTTTTTACTTATAGGCTGTATATGCATCAGATAACTACATGTCTTGCTCCTCTTTTAAATCTAAAGTAGTTATGGTCTTTTAATACACAGCGCTATGCACACTCCTTACTGCTCCCATGTGACAGCTCTTTGATTTGATGACTAGCCTCACAGGTACCTAACTCTGCATTGTAGCCTGTGTCATAGTCCTCTGGGACACAAACATTATCAGTCAGTGTGCTGATAAACAGTAAATGCTCTCAAGGGTTCCTACAGTAAAGTGGATTTGTAATTTTGCCAAGTATGAAAAAAGTACCGGCTTACAAAAGTGTCAATTGTGCAATATGTTAGACATCTTTGTTTTCTTTTAATTTTTCTTATTATTGTTTGCTGGTTTTTATTTAATTCCCTACTTCTTGTTTACCTATTCAAATGTATTCAGAGTTAAAAGACACAAAATAACAAATACTACAGTTTGAACAGTATATTTTATTTTAATCTTTACTTTGCTCAAGTTGTGGTTTGAAAAATGCATAAAATATGTTCACAGTACTGTTTCAATCAGGAAAGCAAAAATCCAATAAAATATTATTAGTTACTTTATTATCACTGTTATTATTAAATAATATTTTTTTGTCACAAACAGCCATACCTTTACACATCGATCCAGTGCCGAGTTTTGCCTCCTGTCTGAGTTGCTCAGGTTCCTGCCTATCTGCCCTGAACCTAGGTACAGTCATACCTTGGTTTACAAATTTAATTCGTTCTGCAGGACTTTTTGTATAGCGAAAAACGCGTAAACCGAAACGCCATTTCCCATAGGAATGCATTGAAAACCAATTAATCCGTTCCTGAGGTCAGAAAAAAGTCAACGCTACTAAAATACTGCATGAGTTATTTTATCAAGTCCTGTGGTATTTTATTAGTGACAACCATTTGTTAATGTTTCAGCTGTCAGAGGGGTTCCCCACTGACAGTTGAATGTAAAAGAATTGCACATGGGGTGGGGTCACATACATGATGTCCTCGGGTGGGACATGTACCCCATACTCAGTCACATAGGGAGGGGGTGGGATCTGGGGGGCCCCTTGTTAAAGGGGGTCTTCCAGATTCCAATAAGCCCCCTGTCCACAGAACCCCACAACCACCAGCCAGGGATGTGGGGAAGAGGCCCTTATCCCCATCATCATTGGGACAAGGTGCTTTGGGGTGGAGCCCCCCTGCCCCAAAGCACCCCCTCATGTTGAGGGCATGTTGCCTGGTATGGTTCAGGAGGGGGGGCGATTACTTGATCTGCCAGGCTGCATGCTCGGATAAGGGTCTGGTATCGATTTTGGGGGGGGGACCCAAGACATTTTTTTTTAATTTTGGCATGGGAGTTCCCCTCAAAATCCAGACCCAAAAGGGCTTAGTATGGATGGGAGGGGGGACTCCATGCCGTTTTTTAAGTTATTATTGTGCCGGTTTTTAAATGAAATTACCACTTTTATTTGGTATGTGCTAACAAAGCTTGATTTGGTAAGTTTTTTACACTTTAAAATTTAGTGTATTAACAAATGATCGGTATGCCATACAGTTAATGTATGATACATTTCTTTAATTTTCATGGCTTTATCATTTCAGTCTGAATATGCAGATACATGTATGCTATGGAAGTTGCCATGAATTCTTCTTTTCCTCTAATTATTTGGTCTATGGTGTGCAGAGCAGCTTGCATTTTCCTGGCATATAGTGCATTAGCTCCTGCCAGTCACAATAGAAAGTGGATGCTCTTAATGCTTGTATACTTGTAGTTGCTTTAGCCACTGCAGTTCCATGGTTGGTATATCTGTGTCAGATGTGCTTTTGTTGGCAGCTTGAAAAGTTAGTTTGGCTTCATCATTAATAGATTGATCTTGCTTTGATTAACCATTTCAATACCGGGCAATTTTACACCTTCCTGCCCAGGCCAGTTTTCACATTTCAGCGCTCTCACACTTTGAATGACAATTGCACGGTTTATACAACATTGTACCCAAACTAAAATTTTATCATTTTCTTCACAGAACTAGAGCTTTCTTTTGGTGGTATTTAATCACCGCTGGGGTTTTTAATTTTTGCTAAATTAACAAAAAAAGACCAAACATTTTGAAAAAAAAAAAAACACGTTTTTCTTTGTTTTTGTTATAAAAGTTTACAAATAAATAATTGTTCTTCATAAATTTAGGCCAAGATGTATTCTGCTACATGTCTTTGGTGAAAATAACCCAAAGTTTTTCGTTTGTTGTTAGTTAGTTTGTAGGAAAGATATAGAGTTCACAAACTATGGTATAGATCTGAAAATTGATCAATCGGGAAGTACTGACAGCCAATCTATGTATGTTTGTATTTAGTTTGTAGGAAAGTTATAGAGTTCACAAACTATGGTATAGATCTGAAAATTGATCAATCGGGAAGTACTGACAGCCAATCTAATTTCTTGAGGTCCAAGAATGTCAGAATAGTACAGATATCCCCAAATGACCCCTTTTTGCAGAGTAGACAGTCGGACGTACTTCATAAGAGGATTTTTTTTGTCATAATTTTTCGGAAAATTTAAAAATTTAAAAAATTATTTTCACTATTTTTTTTTTTTTACATAATGTCACCAGTGCAGTACAGCATCATCATATAACTGGCATGGCGGTGAACAGGGACACTGACTGGTGACAGTATGAAAAAAAAAATATATATACCGTATTTGCCGGCGTATAAGACGACTTTTTACCCTTTGAAAATCCTCTCAAAAGTCGGGGGGGTCGTCTTATACGCCGGTATACGGCATACTGACACTTTTTAGGGGGGTGGCGCGGTGCCGCCGCCACCCCCCCTTCCAACGGAAGG